GGTGTTGCTGAGCGTGTGGGTGTTGCTTGAGCGCGATTTAATTGCAGTCCAAAGAGCCATTTACGCTTCCTGGGCTTGAGATTAGAATGACAACCTCAGAAACCACCTCCAAACCCTCTCATTCCCAGTGGAATGCCTTTACCAACCTGTGCTTCTCCTCCTGTGTCGCCGTGGCAGCCGCTGCTGGACATCTTCACGGGGGTGAGGCTGTACCTGCCCCCCTCCGTGCAGGACTTCGAGAGGCTGCGGCGCTACTTCATCGCCTACGACGGGGACCTGGTGCCGGAGTTCGACACGGCCTCGGCCACGCACGCCGTGGGGGACCTGGAGGAGAACCCTGCTGCCAAACGTGTGACCCCCAACTGGATCTGGGAGTGCATCCGCAAGCGCAGGCTGCTGGCCCCCTGCTAGCGGCCCCGGGGCCGGCCGAGCAGCCTCGGGAGGAGGACGCCCCTGAAGGGAGCAGCTGGGAAGTAGGTAGGTGGAAGAAGTGGTGAGATTCCTCTGTGGAGACAGGGAGAGAAAAATCCATCAGAGGGGTAGTTCTGAAGATCCGTATGGAATGGATTAAAACAGCTCTGTAAAGAAATGTCACTGCTGGGTCTGGTTTTCTGCCCATGTTGTAGACAACTGCACTTATCTAGGTGCTGATTTGGTCTCCTTTTGGGCTTTTAAAGTTTGGGTATTTTTATAGATAAATAAAACTGAAGCAATTTCTCCTTTTGCTGTCAGGACTTATTTTCCAAAGGTGTTTCTTTGTCTGGACAGGAAAACAGCCCATCAAATATTGCCAGGATCACTCGCTGCATGGCTGAGGACACGTGTCCTTCTGGTTTGACTTTTTCCCATCTTCAGCACAGGTCTGGGTCCAGCAGTTTTACACTCCTGCCACAGGTTTCATATTAAACCTGGGATACCAGATGAGCAGATAGCACAGCAACCTCCTCCTCCTCCTCCTCTTGGAGGGTTTGTTTTCTAGAATACATTCCTCAGATGTTCTGCTGTTCATGTTTCAACGAGTGAATGCTGAGACAGGAGCTCTGCCAGCTGGATCCTTTGAGATAGTTGAGAGACCTCCTTACCTGAAGCTGTTCAAGGTACTCGAGTAGTAATGAAATACAGAAGGTAGGTTTTCAGAAATGGGGGTTCATTGTAAAGTAGCTGTTGTGCAGAAGGCAGTGTGCATTCACTGAGTGAATCTGCGTGAGGAGTCCCTGGGTCTCAAGGGTACAGGGTGTGCCTTCCCTCTGTAATCATCACAAAGTCAAGATTGTCCTGCTAAAACAGTTGTTCTGGAGTAACTTCTTTCCTTCAGCTGCTTCTGAACTTGTGCCACTGATGATATTTAAGCAGCTGGTCTCCCAAGCCTTTTCTGGTTGAAATTCAGAAGCAGCTCCAGGATCTCTGCTTTCTCCTGAGCCTGCTGGTAACAGAGCCTGAAAACAAGGTTAACTAAATCACATTTCAGCTTTATTATAAAATTATAAACCAAACTTCTGTACCAAAACTAGTCAGCTCAGCCACTGTAGTACCAAGCAAATAGGGAATCATGTGCCAGTTCAAGTAGAATGCTAACTTTTAAAAAATGTCATCTGTGTACAGTGTACATAAAGCACATAAATATTTCCATTGCTTTATTAGGTCAGATCATTAGATTCCTTTGGATCATTAATCAGTTGCCTCCAGATTTTTAAAGGGAAATCAAAACAACTCATATCCAGATGTAGAGAATCCATTTTTGCAAGTAAAACACACAGTCAGGAGGAGGGGAAAAAAAAGTCTTCTCTTCAGATAGTACATTTCATATTTGGATGGTGGGTCTGTCTTCTATTGACAATATTTCAGGCATTGATCTGCAGCTGTAGGAAAAAAGCCTCCCCTCTAAAGCAAAAGTGTCTGCAGGGGAACACTCATCTGCTGCAACCTTCCCCAGCCCTGAGTTTACTGAAAATATAACAACATCAGGTTTTTTCACAGTGGGTTTACTCAATGAGGCTGTTCAACACTTGGTGTGTGTGTGTTCACCTCTTGAGGAGTAAATACAGTTCCTGCTTACCTGCCTAGGGTTTTTGGGGAAAAAAAAAAGCAAGCATTGACTTGTACCAGTACTCTTCTCCTGGGGGAAGTTGTGAAACCTTAAGCCAAAGATTAGGGAACAGCTTGAAAGAGGGAAATGCAGAATTTGTAGCTCAATAAACTGCAGCAGCATTTGTGAGGAATGCAGAGCCCCCCTCAGGAGTGCAGCAGCTCCAGTACCCACTTCATCTCTAGGGCTTTATCCATCCCAGGCTGCAGAGGAGAGCCCCACCCCTCCCTGCCAGGGGAGAGGCTGCTACTCGTGCAACATGTCCTGTTAAAGGTCACATCATTTGCTGTGACCTCATTGCACAAGTAGGTGGCTTTGGGGCTGGGTTCTGTGACTGCACTTCACTGCTCCAGAAGCTGTAAGTGGACACTTGGTTTTCACACTGTCCCTGCCCTGGCAGCCCTGCACAGATCCAGTGTGAACACAAAAGTGAGTCCCCCATGCCCATAAAGGGGAAAGCTGGACAGCAGAAACCCTGCAGCAGAAGGTGCTTCACAAGTAATTGGGGAGGGGTGTGCAGTGCCACGGGGGGTGGCTGGAAACTTAAGGCACCATGATTCAGAAACAGCTGCTGCCAGGCCTAAGCTGAACCCCTGCTCCCCAGGGGGCTGCTGTAGGGGCAGCCTGTCTCAGGTCAGACCCCAGCATCCTGCCCACAGAGTGAAGAAAAGCAGCCTGGGGGCAACAGGACTGTCACACTGAGCAGGGGGTGGGGGAAGGCTGAGGAGTAAAGTGTCTGCAACACTGATGGCTCATCTGACTGGTCCAAGGGAAAGCTGCCTTGCTTCCCCTCCCTGCCAGGGGAGAGGCTGCTACTCCTGCAACATGTCCTGTTAAAGGTCACACCATTTGCTGTGACCTCATTGCACAACTCATTGCACAAGTAGGTGGCTTTGGGGCTGGGTTCTGTGACTGCACTTCACTGCTCCAGAAGCTGTAAGTGGACACTTGGTTTTCACACTGTCCCTGGCAGCCCTGCAGAGATCCAGTGTGAACACAAAAGTGAGTCCCCCATGCCCATAAAGGGGAAAGCTGGACAGCAAAAACCCTGCAGCAGAAGGTGCTTCACAAGTAACTGGGGAGGGGTGTGCAGTGCCACGGGGGGTGGCTGGAAACTTAAGGCACCATGATTCAGAAACAGCTGCTGCCAGGCCTCAGCTGAACCCCTGCTCCCCAGGGGGCTGCTGTAGGGGCAGCCTGTCTCAGGTCAGACCCCAGCATCCTGCCCACAGAGTGAAGAAAAGCAGCCTGGGGGCAACAGGACTGTCACACTGAGCAGGGGGTGGGGGGAGGCTGAGGAGTAAAGTGTCTGCAACACTGATGGCTCATCTGACTGGTCCAAGGGAAAGCTGCCTTGCTTTCCTTTCGCTCCAAAGGGAAACAGTCACCTGTACTTAAACATGATTGTGTAGCCATGGAATCCTTACCACCCTACAGCTGTGTATTTTCCTCACTAAATCCTCAAAAGACTCAATCCTTACAGCTGTAGCTCCTTAATTGCATGAAGTCACTTCAGTTTTAGAAAGATCACTGGTTGTTTACTGAAAGGATGCCTGTGAAGTCAAAGGAATCAACAACAGTCAAATTAGAAAATTCCCTCTTGCTGGCATGTAAACAGAAAGGCACCACCACACAAGGTAAGGCTGTTTCACAGGGTCTCACTCCCCTTACATTTTCCAATAATACAAAGTCCATCTTCAAATAAAATGATACATTTTTCCACGATTGCACTAGGCTGGGATTATGCTCATTCTGAACACAGAAATCTGAGGCTGTCTGCCTGTCCTGCAAGCATAAGAATTTTAACATTAAATTAAACAACAATAAACATTAACAAGCACGTTTTAATCTTTGAAAATAAAGTTGTTGGGTGTAAGGCCTAAGCAGCAAAACAAACGTCACATTTTGAGACCCCAGTCCACTCGTGTCGATTATTCAGGGGGAAAATACGAAGCCTCCGAATCTGATCTTTGTGGTGGAGAGCCAAGCATCCATCCATCCATCCCCAGCAGTTCTGGAGAGCAAGTCATTCTAGAACATTCTAGAACATGAGGATTTCTGCCTCTGCTGCAGGCAATGAGCTCCGGGGAGCCCAGGCACTGTGGTGTAAAGCACTATTTATTGCGGGAAGAGCAGAGCCAGGCGCGGCGGGAGTGAGAGCAGCTGTCCCCAGGCTCCATCCTGCCCCTGCTGGGGCCCACATCCCCCTCTGACCCAACCAGTGAGGAGGGTGCCCGTTCCCTGGGGGCAGAGGAGGCTGGAAGGCGTGTGCCAGGCTGCCCCACACACACACCCCCAGCTAGGACCTGAAGACGTGGACGGCGCGGATGACGTACTGCCGGCAGATGGGACACTCGCTCATCCGCTTCCCACACCTGGTGCAGGTGACCATGTGCCCACACTCCAGCAGCACGCAGTCGATGGGGGCGTCCATGCAGATCTTGCAGAGGTTGTCCTCGGTGCCAGGGAACCCAGCAGCCCCTGAGGGAAGGAGAGAGCACAGCTCACGTGAAAGCGGCGCTGCTGTTGTGCCATCCCTCAGCTGGCTTTAGCTAAGGGCTCCTCTCATGGACTTTGAACACTGGCTGGCTGGACAAACATCCCCCTTGGGTCTACTCTGATGGGGGTGAGGAGCAGAAAGTTTTGGCTTTTACACAGTAATTTGTGATGAAAACAGGGATACCACTGAGATTCTTCACAGGGAGGCAAATGAAGCAACGTGGATCTCTCTTCCCAGGCAACAAGGATGAGAGAAAATGGCCTCAAGTTGTGCCAGGGGAGGTTTAGGTTGGACCTAAGGAACAATTTCTTTCCTGCAAGGGTTGTCCAGGGCTGTGCCAGGCTGCCCAGGGCAGTGGGGGGGGCCCCAACCCTGGAGGGGTCT